AGCTACTCAGGAGGCCGAGATCTAAGAATCACAGTTCAAAGTCAGCCTGGGCAGGAAAGTCCATGAGACTCCAATTAACCACCAGAAAACAGGAAGTGGCACTGTGGCTCAAAGTAGTAGAGTGCTAGCCTTGAGCGCAAAAGCTTAGGGGCAGCACCCAGGCTCCACAACCAGAAAAAAAATAATAAATTAGAAGGAATAGTATCAAAATCACCTGAGACGGAAAGAAAAGTCAAAATAATGGAGATAGACAGGAGCTTAATATACTTCTTCTTGAAAGGTTTAGTAGATAGAAATAAAAGGCAAATGAGAAGTGCTATTAATAAGCCATTAACAGTAACTGCATGTGAGAATACAGTTGCATTGGTGAGAGTACAGTTGAACAGAGAGTATAGTTTATCCTACTCTTATCAAAGAGTAAGACCCCTGAGTTTGTTTTTGTGGCGTTTGAAAGGGAAAAGGCAAAGCTGAGGCAGTGAGCTAAGAAATCAAGTTGTGGAAATCATGTAGAAAGAACAGGCTCTGAACTGAACAGGAGGAATAAGCAAAAATTGCAGATTAACTAGCTATGGGTATTATAGAAGATAACCCATGATAATGATTGCCAAATTAAAAGCTACAAGGCCTTAGCACAGCAGACCACAGGATAATAGGATGGTAGAAAATGCAATTATATTTCTGTGCTAGAAGATATCTGAGAAGAACTCATATATACCAAGAAACAACAACAACAATGAGCCTATAAAGCAGAGATTCTGGGCTGAAAATCTGAATTAAAAGTGGCATTTTAGGATACAATCTTAAGTAATGAGATAAAATATAATTTTTAAGAAGCAAAGAGATGTAAAAGTGTAAGGTCTGGGCCTGAGGACTGGTGAGCTTTAGGAGAAACTGCAAAGACCTGAGGGAGAAAAGCAAATCAATCAGAAGAGGATGACTAATACACCACCATAATTAAGTTCCAAGTTGGACAGATATAACTAAGGAAATACTGGGAACACACATGAGGCCCAAAAAGGGAAAGCGCATTTCAGAGAACTGAAAAATGAATTCAAGTTGGGCACTGGTGGCTCACACTTGTAATCCTAGCTATTCAGAAGGCTGAGATCTGAGGATCATGGTTCAAAGCCAGCCCGGGCAGGGCAGGAAAGTCTGTAAGACTCATCTCCAATAAACCACTCAGAAAACTGGAAGTGACGCTGTGGCTCAAGTGGTAGAGTGCTAGCTTTGAGCTGAAGAGAAAAGGGACAGTGTTCAGGCCCAGAGTTCAAGCCCCACAACCGACAAAAACAAAACAAAAACAAAACAAAATGAATTTGAGAAGAATTCTAAGAAATGGATGTGTGTCCATCCAGACCAGACTCTGGGCTCAAGTCCTCATACTGACCCACTGGTTTCTGACCTACACCAACTATATAGCCATTGCCTTTGCCTTTGCCCTTGCCCTACTTATAGAACTAGGATAGCAGCAGGACATAAAGCTAGTAAGAAAATTAAATGAGGTCAGGCACTGTACCTCATACCTGTAATTCCAGCTACTCAGGAGGTAGAGACCAGGAGGGTCATATCTCAAAGCTAGCCCAAACAAAAAGTTAGTGAGGGCTGGGAAGATGGCTCAGTGGTAGAGCGCTTGCCTTGAATGCATGAGGCCCTGGGTTCGATTCCTCAGCACCACATAAGCAAAAAGAAAAAAGCCAGAAGTGGCGCTGTGGCTTAAGTGGTAAAGTGCTAGCCTTGAGCTGAAGAGCTGAGGGACAGCGCCCAGGCCCAGAGTTCAGGCCCCACGACCGGATCCCCCCCAAAAAAAAAAAAAAGAAAAAGAAAAAAAAGGTTAGTGAGACTTCTACCAGTGAGGTTGCCCCAAGTACAAGGAGGAGGAGCCAGTCTTAGGTTAGCCCTGGGAACCTCAGAATATGACCTAAAGGAAAAAGAGCTAGAGGGGTGGGGTGAAGTGGCTAACACCACAATCCTAGCTACCAGGAAAGCTGAGATTGGGAGGATCAAGGTTCTAGTTCATCTCACACAAAATACTTTGCAAGACTCCACCTCAACAGAAAAAGATGGTGGTACATTCCAGTCACCCCAGCTATTGTAGGAAGCATAAAATAGAGGAGGATCATGGTCCAGATGTAGGTTCCAGACAAAAACTGAGATCCTGTCTGAAAATAACCAGTACAAAAAATGGGCTAGGGGCATGGCTCAGCAGTAGGCAGCCTGCTTAGCGAGTACAAGACTCTGAATTCAAATTCTAATATATACATATAAAGAAAGAGAGAGAAATGGAGGTATGGTGAGGCTTGAGTAATACAGTGCTATTCTAGCATCCACAAGGCCAAGTTCAAACTCTAATACTAGGGGGAAAAAATAAAAACAAAAAAACCATACTATATCCTTTTTTTTTTTTTGAGTCCAATCGTGGGGCCTGAACTCTGGTCCTGGGCACTGTCCCTCAGCTCTTCAGCTCAAGGCTAGCACTCTACCACTTAAGCTACAGAGCCACTTTGGCTTTTTTCTTTTTGCTTATGGGGAATCGAACCCAGGGCCTCATGCATGCAAGGCAAGTGCTCTACCATTGAGCCACCTTCCCAGCCCCACCATACTATATTCTATAAAGCAAGGCAGATATAGTCTTTGCTACTATAATGTCCTCTACATGTCCCTGCATAATGCTAGAAAAACTCATTAATGGTTAAAGCAGAAAAATTCTTTGAGAGGTAGCTGAGAGATAGTACTTTCTCTTTCTCCAGTAGTAACACAAAGATAGTAATTTCCTAAGATTACTGAAAAGATCTCAGGTAACATAACCCTGAGTCCATAGCTCCACCTATCTAGTTATACAGGTATGTTTTAAAAAAGAAAAGCAGAAACTCTGGAAGTAAATTCTAGATTATAAGAAAGAAAAACAAAAGGTAGGCTTGTATTTACTAAAAAAATGTGAAAAAGAAACAACAAAAAAAAAAGAGGCCTATGATCTAGATAAAAAGCCACTAATAAAGCAGAGGAATTAAACTAATAGGTAAACCCATGTGATGGAAAGGAAAAAGAAAGCTTCATAGCTGGGCACTGGTGGCTCTTACCTGTAATCCTAGCTACTCAGGTGGCTGAGAACTGAGGATCACTGTCCACCTTGGGCAGGAAAGTCTGTGAAACTCTTACCTCCAAAAGAGCCAGTAGTGGAACTGTGGCTCAAGTGGTAAAGTGTTAAGTTTGAGCATGAAGGCTTAGGGAAAGTTCCCAAACCCTGAGTTCAAATCTGGGGATTGACACAATAATACACACACAGTGACACACTCTCTTACCCAGACAAATCTTCCTGAGTACCACAATATAATGTCAGACTATGGATGGTCTGCACTTGAGTCACAACTTCACCCATTCAAAGGTTCAACAAGCAAGGCTAATCACTATAATTTTAAAATTTGTGAGAATTAAAAGGTATATGGATCAGTTAAGTGCAAGTTAAAACATTTTGTTTACCTATAAAATTGGTATAGTTAGGGGCTGGGAAGGTGGCTTAGTGGTAGAGTGCTTGCCTTGCATGCATGAGGCCCTGGATTCAATTCCTCAGCACCACATAAGCAAAAAGAAAAAAGCCAGAAGTGGTGCTGTGGCTCAAGTGGTAGAGCACTAGCCTTGAGCTGAGGGACAGCGCCCAGGCCCAGAGTTCAGAGTTCAGGCCCCATGACCAGACCCAAAAACAAAACAACAACAACAACAAAAAAAAATTGGTATAGTTCTTTAAAAAATTCAATGTTGGCTGGGAATGTGACTTAGTGTTAGAGGGTTTGCCTAGCATGCATGAAGCCCTGGGTTCAATTCCTCAGAACTACATAAACAGAAAAAATCATAAGTGATGCTGTGGCTCAAGTGTTAAAGTGCTAGGCTTGAGCAAAAGAAGCTCAAGGACAATGTTCAAGCTCCAGAACTGGCAAAATAAATAAATAAATTAATTAATTCAATGCTGATAAATTATGTCAAGAAAGACATCACTACTAGTGTGAAATACTAAGAGTAAAAATTTGCCCCAAAAATTCCAAGTCCAGATTATTACCCTACGGAAATGACTACAAGTTTTTATATAGCCAGGTGCTGGTGGCTCATGCATGTAATCCTAGCTATTTAGGAGGCTGAGATTTGAGGATTGTGGTTCAAATCTAGCCCGGGCAATTAATCAATTAACTACCAGAGAACTGGAAGTGATCCTATGGCTCAATAGTAGAATGCTAGACTTGAGCTGAAGAGCTGAGGGACAGCACCCAGACCCAGAGTTCAAGCCCCACAACAAAAAAAAAAAGACAACCGATTTTTATAATACTGAGTATAAACAACACTAGAGAAATCAGAAGACATTACATTATATTCATCGAGTTAAACACTAGATAGCCATAGAAACATTTTCTAAGGCTTTTTAACATGAAAAACTGCTTATGCCAAAGTAAAAGAAAGGATATATGCTGATTATACATAATAACCATGTTAAAAATATGCAGAAAAATACTAGAAGCAAACAGATTAGATGCTAATATTTGGTCATTAGCACATATGAATGGCATTATTTGAGAATGACCTTAAAGATTATTACTGGTAGTGCTAGGAAAGGGATATGATGTGTGAATGGAGGTGATCAATTCAGAAGCAAGGTATGGGCAGTCTCCAATGAGGTTAACACCAGCATCTGACATGGTTTTTTTGAGGACAATTATATCCTAGAGTGCTACTTGTAAATGAGGAGATGCACAAAATATGTAAGCATCCCTTTTTGAATGTTCTAAATATGCTATAAATTGAAATATTAAAACCACTTAGATCACATTACCTGAAAGTATTATTTTTGCCTTTCCACATTTTTTAAATTTTCTATAAATGAAGAGGAAGATAACCAAAAACTAACTTAGGTCTAAAATACAAGACTTTTCCTTTATTAGACCAAGTAAGGTATCCAACAAGAAAATCCAGTCATAAAGAACAAAACAGAATGCAAAGCTGGGTCTCATGCTTACCTTATAGCACCTGTATTTATAAAGAACCACCAGGAGGATAGTCATGACAACGATGACACTGATCATGATGGCAGCATTCAGAATCGAGTGCAGGGCTCTCTGGCCCACCGTCTCAGTGTCTTCTGTGAATGGGGTATAGATTCTACAAAAAAAAAAAAAAAACCAGGAAAGTCTAGATAAGTGTTAATGGGAATCCTAATCCACAGACTCCTTCTAACACTACAGTTTGTGGTTTGTAGTTAATATTTCAATTGTTTCAGTGCAAAAGAAAGTATCTAGGCTTCCGAGATGAACTTACATGTGAACTAGGCAGTGGCTCCATCTAGTGGAGACTTTCTAGTCAAAAGATTACCTCATGGGGCTGGGAAGGTGGCTCAGTGGTAGAGGGCTTGCCTTGCATGCATGAAGCCCTGGGTTCGATTCCTCAGCACCACATAAGCAAAAAGAAAAAAGCCGGAAGTGGCGCTGTGGCTCAAGTGGTAGAGCGCTAGCCTTGAGCTGAAGAGCTGAGGGACAGCACATAAACCCAGAGTTCAGGCCCACGACTGGACCCAAAAAAAAAAAAAAAAAATTACCTCATGTAATATTTTCTCCAGTTTTTTTGTTTTGTTTTTTTGGGTCTGTTTGTGGGGCCTGAACTCTGGGCTTGGGCGCTGTCCCTCAGCTCTTCAGCTCAAGGCTAGTGCTCTACCACTTGAGCCACAGTGCCATTTCCGGCTTTTTTCTTTTTGCTTATGTGTTGTTGAGGAATCGAACCCAGGGCCTCATGCATGCAAGGCAAGCGTTCTACCACTGAGCCACCTTCACAGCCCTGTTTTTTTTTTTTTTTTTGGTTGGGTATGGGGCTTGAACTCTGGGCTTGGGCACTGTCCCTGTGCTCTTCAGCTCAAGGCAAGTGCTCTACAGCTTCAGCCACAGTACTACTTCCCGTTTTCTGGTGGTTAATTGGAGATAAGAGTCTCAGGGACTTTCCCCGCCAGGGCTGGCTTTGAATCGTGATCCTCGGAGATCCACCCGGTATCAAGGATTATAGGCATGAGCCACCAGTGCCCAGCCCCCACAGCTTCTTAATAGCTTGTTAAACAACCAGATTCTGTCATATAAACTACTAGGTTGACAAATAGGTTGTCATAGGAAGAGAATATGGTTCATTTTTATTGTCTTTTATCTATATGGTGATTGCAACTGAAGTTATCTTGACTTAGTATCATACATCCATATTCCTTTTGTTTCTCACTCACATAAAAGTCACTTTTATTCCAGGTTCCAATGTTCCCATCCAAAAGGCTTTATTTCTGTCCCTGTATAGATAGGTGTGGTCATGAAACTAAGTAATGCCATTTTTTTTTTTTTTTTTGGTTGGTTGTGGAGCTTGAACTCTAGATCTAGGTGCTGTCCCTCAGCTCTTCAGCTCAAGGCTAGTGTTCTATCACTTGAGCCACAGTGCCACTTCTGGCCTTTTCTTTTTTCTTTTTTTTGGTAGGTCATGGGACTTGAACTCTGGGCCTGGGTGCTGTCCCTCAGCTCTTCAGCTCAAGGCAAGTGCTCTACAGCTTGAGCCACAGCGCCACTTCCGGCTTTCTAGTGGTTTATTGGAGATAAGAGTCTCACGGACTTTCCTGCCAGGGCTGGCTTTGAACTGCGATCCTCAGATCTTAGCCTCCTGAGTAGCTAGGATTACAGGCGTGAGCCACCGGCGCCTGGCACTTGCGGCCTTTTCTGTTTATGTGGTGCTGAGGAATTGAACGCAAGTACTCTAGCTACTGCTGAGCCACCTTCCCAGCCCCATGGCCATGAGTTCTATGGCTGATGTGTTATACAAGGAACTTTTAAAAAAAGAATGTACCAGGCTGGGAAGGTGGCTCAGTGGTAGAGCACTTGCCTTGCATGCATGAGGCCCTGACTTCGATTCCTCAGCACCACATAAGCAAAAAGAAAAAAGTCAGAAGTGGCGCTGTGGCTCAAGTGGTAGAGCGTTAGCCTTGAGCTGAAGAGCTGAGGGACAGCGTCCAAGCCCAGAGTTCAGGCCCCATGACTGGATCTCCCCCCAAAAAAATGTACTAAAAAAAGTCATTAATTCCTTCCTATTCAAATCCTTCCTGATGTATGAATGTAGGCTGGCTGCAGTCTGCTCCCTGAAATCAGCTAGAGGAGTAAGTCAAAGCAAAAAATAAAGAGCCCAGGCAGGTCCTTGACTAATGATGAAGCTGCTATACCAATCTTCACTGCCAATTTCTTTTTTGCTGGTGCAGTCCAAGGGATTGAACTCAGGTTGCTGGTGCAGTCCAAGGGATTGAACTCAGGGCTTGAGTGCTGCCCTTCAACATTTTTGTTCCAGGCTAGCACTCTACCATTGAGCCACAATGCCATTTCCAGCTTTTCTGGTGCTTAATTTGAGATAAGAGTCTCACAGACTTTCCCACCTGGGCTGACTTCAATCCTTGAGCCTTAGATCTCAGCCTCCTGAGTAGCTAGGAGTTAAGCATGAGTCATGAGTGCCTGGATTGACTGCCTACTTCGATACTCCTTTATGGAACTGTTTATTGTTATTGGTCATGGGGCTTGAACTCAGGACCTGGGCCCTGTCCCTGAGCTCTTTTTGCTCAAGCCTAGCACTCTACCATGTAAAGCCACAGCACCAATTCCAGTTTTCTTGTGGTTAATTGGAGATAAAGAGTCTAACAGACTTTCCTGCCAGGGATAGCTCAATCCTCAGATCTCAGCCTCCTGAGTAACTAGTATTACAGGTATGAGCCACCAACACCCAGCTCTCTATGGGATTTCAAATGATTTTTTACTACCTGACGTTCTGTGACAGGGTCAATGAGCTTTCTTTCTTTCCTTTTTTTTTTTTTGTTGGTTGTGGAGCCTGAACTCTGGGCCTGGATATTGTCCCTCAGCTCTTCAGCTCAAGGCTAGCACTCTACCATTTGAGCCACAGTGCCACTTCTGGCTTTTTCTGCTTATGTGGTGCTGAGGAATCGAAGCCAGGGCCTCATGCATGCAAGGCAAGCACTCTACCACTGAACCACCTTCCCAGCCTGGTACATTCTTTTTTCAAAAGTTCCTTGTATAACACATCAGCCATAGAACTCATGGCCATGGGGGCTGGGAAGGTGGCTCAGCAGTAGGTAGAGTACTTGGCTCTATAGTTTCTGACTCCTAACTCTATTTATGTCTTAGCCATACTCCCAAAAGGCTAAAAGCACTGGGTACTGCTCATGCCTGTAATCCTATCTACTCAGGAGGCTGAGATCTGAGGATCTCAGTTCAAAGCCAGCCCAGCAGGAAAATCTGTGAGACTCTTTTCTCCAATTAACCAACAGAAATCTGGAAGTGGCGCTGTGGCTCAAGTGGTAGAGCGCTCGCCTTGAGCTGAAGAGCTGAGGGACAGCGCCCAGGCCCAGAGTTCAAGCCCCATGACCAACAATAAAAGAAAAAGAGAAAGAAAAAAAAAAAAGATAGCTCCAATGGCTATAGAGAAGAAAAGATCACATTTTTCCATTCCGAATGAATCCAGCCCTATTTAATGACCCCATCCAGACATCAATTCTGTGATGTTCATTTTTGCTACTTCATGCATCCTGTCCACTGCTTTCAGTCATCAGAAAAGATGGACTCATTCCTGCTCCTTTAGTGCTGAGGACTTCAAGGTGATGGCAACATGCTGTAAAGAAAAGCTACTGGCCTTGACAGTAACAAAACACACACAAAAAAACAATCGTACGTACAGCTGTCCATCTTTCCTGGTATAAAAGCTGACTGACTTGATAGTAGCCACAACCACCACCATGCAGAGAGTCACGGGGACAAAGAGCATGATGACATGTTTGGCTCCATATTTCAATGTCAACTCCTCATCTTCTTCCTCATCTTGTTCCAGCACCTGCTGTGAGTTACTCTGAGGTTGACCATTAGATACTGGCTCAGGGTTGCCAAGTCTCCGCCTGTCACTGTGCTCCTGCCGTTCGCGACTGTCATTCTAAAACCACAAGGAAAACTTTGTCAGTAAATCACACTTTTAGCAGAATATGTAACAATTATGTAACAATTAGACCCGTGATTAACAGCTGTGCATGGTCACCACTGGAGTTTTAAAAACTTGAGGCAATTCCATATGATTCTCCAACCCTAAGAAGAGCAGGTCAAGTACCCTCCAGGCCCTGCTAGAGCTAGCCTCTGCCTCTAGACAACCTCTTTTACATATACTCCACTTTGTGGACAAGGCTGAATTATTATATATTGCCCAGTAATGTAAATTAACCCTAGACACATCTGTTTGTCCTAATTTCCAGTCCCCTGTGAGAGGAATCTCCAGGAAGAGGTGATGATCTGCCTCTTATGTGCTTAGGCTTGGCCGTTTTAACTCCTGTCACCCTAGGACTTGGGCTTCCCTGAAGGTAACCACAAAACCCTCAGCTCAGTGAGAGACACCTGGATGGCATCAGGCACCGGCGGCAGCAAGTGCCCTCTTGCCTTCAGAAAAAAAGGCGAGGGAAGTGAAAAAAAAAAAAAAAAAAAAAAAAACTTGAGGCAAGAAAGAACCAATTTATAGGCAGTGGCAAAAGCCTAAATTATTAACCATTGTTCTCTAAGGGCACCCAGGTCCTCCCTCTTACCATGGTCTTGACTCACCTCACTCTCTCCTTCCATTTTGCAGCTAAAATAACTAGACTTCTTGGAGGTCTGGCTGAAACATGGACACCTGCATTAAGCTTTTCTGATTTGCTACAGCTGCAAGCTAAATGATCTCATTGTTTTAATTCATGAGCACTTACTACTGAAAGTTTCATACCAGCTATGTAAAAACTTTTATTATTAGTAAGACTCTGAAATCTATGTGGTAATATTCAAGGTATCTTTCTGCATTGTTTCTTATAATTGCATGGAAACAATTGCTTAAAATAAAATAAAAATTATTCAACTGAAAAAACTCTCCTCTTTTTTTTTTTTTTGGGTCAGGTCGTGGGGCCTGAACACTGTCCCTCAGCTCTTCAGCTCAAGGCTAGCACTCTACCACTTGAGCCACAGTGCCACTTCTGGCCTTTTTTTCTGCTTATGTGGTGCTGAGGAATCGAACCCAGGGCTTCATGCATGCAAGACAAGCGCTCTACCACTGAGCCACCTTCCCAGCTCTCTCCTAACTCTTCTAAAGAACAGCTGGGTCTTACGCAATTCTGATGGTTATGCTGGGCAACAGCAAGGGAACAATAAACAATCAATGAATGACTGAGTGAGATCAGTACACTTCTTAGATTCTACTTTCCTCTGACCCTTAATGTATGCTTATCTTAGGTTTATTCTCCCCTCTCCCACCTCTCTCTCCTTCTCCCCTTCCCTCCTTCTCTCCCTCCTCTCTCTCCAATTTTCTTTGTGCCAGTCCTGGTGCTTGAATTCAGGGTTTGGGCACTGTCCCTGAGCTTCTTTTGCTCAAGGCTATACCACTTGAGCCACAACACCACTTCTGGCTTTTTCTGGTCTTTTTTTTTTTTTGGTCGGTTGTAGGTCCTGAACTCAGGGCCTGGGTGCTGTCCTTCAGCTCTTCAGCTCAAGGCAAGCGCTCTTGGCTTTTTCTGTTTATGTGGTACTGAGGAATCAAACCCAGGGAATGCATGCTAGGCAAGGACTCCACCACTAAGCCACATTCCCAACCCACAAAAACAGTTTTAAGACATGAACAGTGATTCTAAAGGCGAAGTTGAGCTTAAAGACTATGACAAAATAAGCCCAGGAACAGGAGCGTTTAGATCCGTGGAAGAGCACTTGCCTGGCATGTACAAGGCCCTGGGTTCAATCTTCAGACACACACACATTAAAAAAAAGAGAGAGGGCTGGGAAGGTGGCTCAGTGGTAGAGTGCTTGCATTGCATGCATGAGGCCCTGGGTTCGATACCTCAGCACTACATAAGCAGAAAAAAGCTGGAAGTGGCACTGTAGCTCAAGTGGTAGATTACTAGCCTTGAGCTGAAGAGCTGAGGGATAGTGCCCAGACCCACAGCTCAGGCCCCACGACCGACCAAAAAATAAAAAAAATACAAAAAAAGAGAGAGAGCCAGGTGATAGGAGAAAAGAAACCAACCTCAAGTACTCTGCTTTCTCACAGATAAGAGAATAAGAAATAAACATAGACTAATAGTCATGGCTGCTGGTTAAGATGAAATTGGCTTGAAGACTGAGAACAAGTCACTCCTTTATCTCATCATTGACTCTACTGGATAACTACTACTTTTCTTTTTTGCCTGGTGTGGGTCCTGGACTGTCCCTCACTCTTCAGCTCAAGGCTAGTGCTCTACCACTTGAGCCACAGCACCACTTCGGCTTTTTCTGCTTATGTGGTGCTGTAGAATCAAACTCAGGGCCTCATGCATGCAAGGCAAACACTCTACCACTGAGCCACCTCCCCAGCCCCTACTTTTTTTTTTTGGGCCCGGTCATGGGGCCTGAACTCTGGGCCTGGGCGCTGTCCCTCAGCTCTTCAGCTCAAGGCTAGCACTCTACCACTTGAGCCACAGTGCCACTTCCGGCTTTTTTCTTTTTGCTTATGTGGTGCTGAGGAATCGAACCCAGGGCCTGGAGCATGCAAAGCAAATGCTCTCCCACTGAGCCACCTTCCCAGCCCCCCCCCTTTTTTTTTTTTGTCAGTCATTGGTCTTAAAATCTGGGCCTGGGTGCTGTCCCTCAGCTCTTCAGCTCAAGGCTGGCACTCTACCACTTAAGCCACAGTGTCACTTCCAGTTTTCTGGTGGTTTATTGGGGATAAGAGTCCCGAGGACTTTCCTGCCTGGGCTGGCTTTGAACCGTGATCCTCAGATCTCAGACTCCTGAGTAGCTAGGATTAGAGGCGTGAGTCACTGGTGCCCAGATTAACTACTACTTTAAGTGTTACCATTGCTCATTAAAAATACATTCCAAAGCTGGGCACTGATGGCTCATGCCTGTAATTCTATCTACTCAGGAGGCTGAGATCTGACAATCAGAGTCCAAAGCCAGCCCAGGCAAAAAGTCCCTGAGATGGCGGCTACTGGTGGCTCACGCCTGTAATCCTAGCTACTCAGGAGGCTGAGATCTGAGGATCGAGGTTCAAAGCCAGCCCGGGCAGGAAACTCCGTGAGACTCTTATCTCCAATAAACCACCATAAAACCGGAAGTGGCGTTGTGGCTCAAGCGGTAGGGCGCTCGCCTTGAGCTGAAGAGCTGAGGGGCAGAGCCCAGGCCCAGAGTTCAGGCTCCCTGACCGGACCGCCCCCCCCCCAAAAAGATTAAAAAACAAAACAAAAAAAACACTGTAGATAAAAGATGATTGGCAATCTCAGTGTTGAAGGTGTGGCCACCTTGAAGCAAAGGCTACAAAGGAGGAAAAGAGACACTGGGCCCAGCAACTGTGGCTCCTGTTTGTCATCCTAGCTTCTCTGAGATCTGAGGATCACCATTTGAAGCCAGCCTGGGCAGAAAAGTCCAAGAAATTCTTACCTCCAGTTAATTATACAAAAGCCAGAAGTGGAGTTGTATCTCAAGTTGGTAAAGTGCTAACCTTGAGCACAAAAGCTCAGGGACAAAACTCAGGCTCAGAGTTCAAGTCCCAGGACTGGCAAAAAAAAAAAAAAAAAGACACTGGGTTGTCCATAAAACATTTTTGTGTTTACTCTGAAACTTCAGCAGTTGCATATATACTTTGATGCAAAAAAGATTATAGCTATGTATAGTGGTACACACCTGTGATCCCAGCACTCCAAAGGCTGGGGCAAGATTGTGAGTTGAAGGCTAACCTAGGTTATAGAGAAAGACCTTGTCTCAAAAATAAATAAATAAATATTATATTGAAGAGTGAAAAAAAAGAAGTAAAACAATTAGATAATGTTTCAAAAGTAAGAGGAAAATACTTCAGGAGTGAAATAGACAGGGCTCCCCTTCAAGTTTCACGTGAACAATCAGGAGTAGTCCAGGGTGACTCTGGAGATTTCTAGCACAAAGAACAAGGTAGGTGGCACTGACAGAGCAAGGGAACACAAGAGGAAGCAGGCTGGAGAGAGGCCTTCTATGTGAATGTGAAGTACCTGCACCAGGTAGGGAGGTCCAAAGGACACAAGCAACAAGAATGTCATGCTCAGGTCAAAGGACAAAAGCTCAGGAAGAGAGTGCAGGTGGAAAAAAGGAGCAGTAAGACTTGGTGGTGATTAACACAAATATTTGCAGAAGTGATAGGGTGACTAACCTCCAGGCATAAGCAGCAGGAGCTGAAAGAACAGCAAGACAGATTAAGAGCAGGATGGAATGGCATGGTCCAGAGATGATGTATACAGGCAGGAAAGGAAAGGGTCGAAAAGACACTGAACCTGTCAATAGCAAGTTCTATAATGCTTTTTTTTTGGGGGGGGGGGGGCACCAGACCTGGGGCTTAAACTCAGAAGTCTAGGCACTATTCTTCAGTTTTTGTGCTCAAGGCTTGCACTTACTATTTAAGCCACAGCCTTCACTTCTGGCTTTTTGGTGGTTAATTGGTAGTAAGAGTCTCACAGAACTTCCTGCCCCATTGGCTTAGATCCCAACTTCCTGAGTAGCTAGGAGTGTAGATGTGTGCCACAGGTACCCAGCTTCCCTAAGGATTTTTTTTAAAATTTTGCTTTATTGTAAAGATGCTGTACAGAGGGGTTACAGTTACATGAGTAAGGTAATGAGTACATTTCTTGTCGAACACTGTTATCCTCTCCTTTGTTTTTTTCCTACTTCCACTGGAAGTGGCACAGTGGCTCAAATGGTAGAGGGCTAGCCTTGAGCTGAAGAGCTGAGGGACAGTGCCCAGGCTGAGTTCAAACCACATGACCAGCAAAAAAAAAAGAAAGAAAGAAAGAAATCATACTGGACTGGGAAATGAATGGAAATTGGGAAGGTAAGGGCAATTATCCTTTGAAGACAAAAAAAAAAAAAAATGGTGAGAACATGACTCCAACTCACAAGTTATTTTAGTGCTGTTAGAGACTTGGG